CCCCAAAACCCCAAAACCCCAAAACCCCAAAACCCCAAAACCCCTTAATTTTATCTTAATATTGAGTAAGAATATCTCAACTAATTTTGTTTCATAATCTTAACTTTTTTAATCCGTTGTGTGATTGGGATGTACTTTAGGATTTTGGGACCCCAACTTGTGCTCAGGCTGATCTTAGGACTAAATACATTATTATAATTCTGCAACCTACCTGGCCTTAGGTTTAGAGTTTATGCTGTTGGATGTTGTGAATTTGGAATATGAATTCGTACTTGGAGGATTTGAGATTCTTACAAATCTATTTGTCCACTCTTTACTTCTGCCTAAGCTCCTTTTGGTGCCTTCAGAGATCACTGTAATAAAAGCTCAAGACATAGCTGGCGAAGAGTAAAAAGACTCTGATTCACTTTGAGGTAAATATTACTCAACTCTTATTCCAAAGGTTTACTATGAGCTTCAACTATCAAGTACATTTCAGATTTTTTGTGTTAAAAATCTAGGAGGATATTTTCTGTAATTCATAAATAACTGCGATTACTGTTTATACAATTTAGCTTATGCCATTTTTTAAGCCTCTATAATCACTGTGATGAGTAGTGATAGGATAGACTTCACAATTCCTAGGGGTCTCATACAACTGTCTTTCAAGCTCATTAATCTTGTTGCTCACAATATTGATTCTCATGTCCATGCGTCTAAATATCATCGTAATGCTTACGACTGGCCGGCTTTGTTGCATTTATGGGATTCAATACTCTTGCGAATTTTGGCTCTTTTGTATCTCCAATATTTGAGTTCTCTGTTTCCTTCATGAAGCTGCTTACTCTGGGCTCTCAAAGAAGAGTTCTGAGGAATTTCAAAACTTTTAGACAAGTTTTTGTTCTCAGAACTACTTCTGAGGTTTGTGATATTTAGGATTGAGCAATGTTTTATTTCACTTTGCTTTTGCTACACAAGATGTAACAAATGAATTTACTTTAACTTTGTCCTCCCAAAACTTGATTCGTTCAGACAAGTCAACAATTTCTTGATGCTTATGAAGTTGAAGTTTTTCCTGCTCTCTAGTATCAAATCGTAACTTAAAAAATGCTTCTTTCGCTTCTTTTATTGCATTAAATACATCCCTCCTGGCTCCTCCATCATACACATTCCTAAACCCTTAACCCAATCCTCCACCCCCAAACAAGCCCACTTAAAATTTCACCCTCACAGAAGAGAGAGAGAGTTACGAACACTTTTTGAGTGGGCGAAGTAAACACAAGGGTACATACCTTACAGAGTTTGGCAGGGTAGAAATAGAGCGTTCCGGTATGGCAAGGTTTTTAGATAGTTTTCTGAGGTCTTCCTCGTGGTTTTTAATCAGTTTTTGTTTTGTCTAAATATTTGTCAAGATTTCTCACTTTGAGTTCGTCTTCAAGGAGTCAGTCTATGATGTAAGAATGAGATATTACATTCGTGGTGTTTGTTTTTGGTAAGCTTTGTTTTTAAAGCATCAACCTTGAGTCTGAGGTTGTTGTATTTATTTAGTATTGCCTAGAGCCCTGAGCAACATAAATTACCAGCAGGAGACATTCGGAGTGATTTTTCAGGATTAAAGTCTAGATCATTACTAGACTTTGCCATGAGCATGACTTGCTTCATTTTGACAGCCTGGTTCGCTCGCATCAAGTCAATTTTGCGTTGTTTTTCTAAATTATCATTGACTTATGCAATACTGTTTTCTTTCAAGCGAAAGAGATAATTATCGATATCGTCTCATAACTCTTCAACTTTATGTTTCATGGATGCCATTTTATTTAGAATTATATTCACAGGTGCTTTCCAAAAATTATTTGAAGATTAGGGGTTTTGGGGTTTTGGGGTTTTGGGGTTTTGGGG